ATCACTCATAACAAACTGATCCCCCTGCTTGACATCCTCGCTACCATCCTCTCTCATCTGCTCTAACTTACACTCTCCCTATCCCGCTCCAGTCCCGTCTTCACCCCGCCGAAATTCCTATCGGCGTTCTGTAGTCCTACCCCCCGGTGGACCACCCGTTTTTGTTGACTTCCCATTCTGTTGCTCCTGGTTCCGCTTCTTAGCTAGGCCTAATAGTACCATGATAACTATTGGATTATCACATCCGTAGTTTCCGGACCGTCTCGCTAGATAATGAGAAACACAGAAAACTACACCGGACGCTTTTTGTATCAGTGTTTCCCGTTTGTGCATTTTGGCTGCCATTCTGGAATCTGTGCTGGGTGCTGATGATTAGGGTTGTGAAAGTGTCCAAGTCGAATAGAATTGTTCTAGTAGTAATGATTATCACACTTTGTGTTAGATCCGCCTTGTGTACCGATGGAAATGCAACACCGAGGGTACCTGCCTGTAAGAATCTTCAGCGTTGAGAGTGCAATAAGCATATGCCTAGTAGTTCGTTTGTGCAGTTAAGCAAACCGAAAGCAAAAGGATTCAACTGTCCGATCATCTTGTTGATATCGATAAGATATTAAATTTGGGATGATGTTAGTATTATAGCTATAAAAGGAAGACTGTTACCGGTAGACTTTAGAGGCCATTAAATACTGTAGTTCTTTCCCGGTGTTACACGGCCTTCCTTAATCAATATTCCGGATAATTGGTGCCTATTATTGTATGAGCAAGAACATTATAATTTTGCACTCTATTTTCAAGGTACTAATCCTTGTAATGAATTCAATCATGCGAATAACACCGTCCAAAGCTCTTCATATGGTGACATTCGAACGGCCTTCGATCATCGATCGGTTAACCACAGGAGCGGTAAAACTTATGGTTATGGCACTACTCCTGCAGGCCGGCTGTCTAAGTCATCATTTAGACGGTAATTTCCGTAGAGTCTTGTGGTATGTGGCGTCAAATATACCAATTGTATTGTGTGGAGTAGCACAGGCGAACTTGTGTTAGGCAGTCTGAGTGATGTTGGGTGATCACGAAGTTTAAGGGCGCGTTCTGCTGGCCAGTATTTGCGCTGTAAGTGCACCGTGACATCCAGGAGTTTTCGAGTATTGTGCTGTTCTAGAAGCGCCAAAACAAGCTACAGTGGTTCTTAACTGCCCTCAATCTTCATTTTTTTTTCACTTGGAGGTACGTAGAAAAGCAGCCACAGTGCAGTCTCGATCCCAGATGTGCAATTACCACTCTCACTGTCCAGAGGCGACACCATACACAATCTGTATAGATTGGCAAGTGAGGAGTGCATATAAAGTACATAATATTTCTCACTGCATTTCTCGTTGGTGGTCGTTGGTATCATGGCAGCGGAACGGTACAGGGTAACCCACTGCACTTTGCAAATTCTATCACTCCCGTTGTCGCTTGGTCATCAGAACGCGCCGTAAGTACTCTGTAGTGATTCAATGGTACAAAACTCGTTCCCGAAAGGCTTTAGGGAACTTAATAAACCAAACCGATCTTTGTTCCGCAAAGTCCAAAAGGTATCACGACGCCTACTCATCATCCTCATCCTCCTCCTCAGTCTCGATAGTCGTCATCGCAATACGATCCAAATCCCTCTGACCCTGTTGACTGACCCTCCTTCCACCCTTCGGGCTCTCCTCCAACACTCCGATTTTCTCCAACGCCTGCATAACCTTCCTATCGACGCTTCCCGAAGCATCCGCATGATGACTAGGCCGAGAGCCGCGGTTCTTCTGGGCTCCGTGGACCTTGCGGAGTGAACCGACTCCGACGGATTTGCGCAGGTAGACATGGCGAGCTACGGCGGCACAGCGGATGTAGAACCAGTCCGGCGACTGGGGGGGGAGCTCCCTAGAATGGCCGGTCTTCACGGTGTCGACCCATCCTGTGGAGGTTAGTAGGGAGCTTCACATAAAAGTCCTATTAATTGATAACAAATGTGTCGCATCTCGAAGACTTGCAAAGCCTGGTAAAGCCCCACAACGTTTCGACAAAGCGAGGGATCTAGAAAACGTCACAGCCTACCAGGCACCGGTAGCTTTCCCTGCCTTTTTAAAAAGGCAGCGTATGCCTCGATGAATTTCTGGGCATCGACATCGCGAACTGTAGATCCGGGCATTGTGATTTCGGCGTATAATTCAACGCAGTTTCGAGGGAGATTCAAAGCAAATCCGAAGGTGGAGAATGTTGAGCTCCACCGGGTACCGGGTACCGGGTGTTACAGTACGACATCATCTTTGTGTGCCAAGAATAATCAACCCCGGATTTTGTGGGTGCACGCGACCTAAATTAGCCGATGCCCTAGGTTAGCGGTCACGCTAGGGTCAGAGTGCGTAAGGCTGCTAGGATACCGGTATTAGATAAGCAAGCAGTATCAATGGATGACGACGATATTCCTCAACGCTTCGCTTTACGGGCAAAAGCTTAACGCCTATCGCGTCATGTTACGCCGGCTAGCTGTAGGCGAAAATGTAGTCTGAGCAGTCCGGTCGTTCCAGTAGCTTCAATCGCTTCTACAAACTTTCCGCAGCGAATCAGCTCTGGAAACACTCGGAATCAACGTTGTTTTATTTCAGAATATAAAGTAAATACATCCCACGATCAGTTATTTCACTTTCACCGATAAGTCATAAGTATTCCTAGACTCTCTACGTATCCATCGGTAGAGAATATGTACTAATCGGAATAGCTATCACCTAGTTCGCCATCATCTACAACTCTTCACACACCGTAATACGTAATGCCTTATTCGATGACCGACGTTGTTGATGCCACAGCGGCAACCGACGACGAGTGTCCCATCTCCAAAGATGGCGGAGACCAGACCTCCGACAATGGCACTCCTAGCTCCTATCAGTCGAATGGAACCGCGGCCAAATATTCCACCACCAGATCACGACCATGGAAAGCTGCAAGGCCAACATTAGAGCGCAACAAAAAGTCCCAGGAAAAGGGGATCAGGCACGCGATGAAGTTTTTATGTGTGCCTTATTCGATGACCGACGTTGTTGATGCCACAGCGGCAACCGACAATGAGTGTCCCATTTCCAAAGATGGCGGAGACCAAACCTCCGACAATGGCACTCCTAGCTCCTACCAGTTCAATGGAATCGTGGCCAAATATTCCACCACCAGATCACAACCATCAACAACTGCAAGGCAACCATTAAAGCGCAACAAAAAGTCCCAGAAAAAGGGGATCAGGCACGCGATGAAGTTTTTATATGGATGGGAGGATGGTGGAGAAGAGGGAGGGAATGTAAAGGCGCAGGGACCTAAGGAGGTTGGGAAGGAGAAGTAAAGCGGGTGGATACTTACTTCTCGGATTGGAAATAGATGGGTTCATGAATGGTGGTTGGATCTCGCGTACTGCTCGCGTCTTGTAATTGCCTCGTCGCTTAGTTAACTCGCTTTCCGGTTCCTCGGGTGATTTGTTTCCTCGTGTAGAAGCTGGTGGATGTCATATATCGTCTCCATCGTTGTTTTCCTTTTCGTTGTTGCCGTATCATGCCTTCATTCCATCCGGTGTACTCCAATTTCAATGCCGAAGATACCGCATCTACTCGTACGCAAGGTAGGCTCATTACAAGCTAAGGAGATGGCTTGGCATCCACAGTGTGAATAGCTTCACACTAAAGATATTAAAGCCAGTGAAGCTGTTCTTATTCACAAGGTCGTTTTTTTTTTTTTTTTTTTTTTTTTTTTTTTTTTTTTTTTTTGGGGGGGGGGGGGGGGGGGGGACATATCGAGGGGAGGTGCGGAATTGTTGAAGCTGAAGACTTGTCAAGAATAAGCACGTGGATACTGTCGGAGGTATGGTTGTGTTGGTGTTGACTGCTTATTCCGTCAACGGGGGGTGATGTTGTGGTGGACGGTTATTGGCATATTGCGGAGAGGACGGTAGCGATGGTTGTTGGATGTTCCATAATTGATTAGGTGGCAATGTCTCAATGTTTCACTCCGACAACGTGGTTGCGGTTGTGATTGTGATGATTCACAAACGCTGAAGTTGACAGCGTCGTTGCGGGCGTCTCTCACGGTGTTGTAATTATCTATTCTAGCCTCCGAGAAGGAATTAATTGACCGCTAATAAGTTTATATACAAGTTTTTAAAACCTTAATCACACCAGGTGCACGTATAAACAAGTGGCGTAGCGTCTCGTCTTCTTAGGCTTGAACATCCGAGGTCCTCGGACCTCAAACGTTAACAAATGGGAAGATGGGGCAGCGACAATCGCTGGTTCGACTCCAGCCTCGTGCACCACTTTTTTTGATTATGCTGAATTAAAACGTCGGTTGGTACTGGAGAGGGTTCAGACTTTGGTCATGGGGTTGAAGAGGAGGCGTTTCATGGCGTATCACTTGGTCTTGGCAGAGAGTGAGCGCCGATGATTTGTGGTACATAGTCTAGTCGTTGCTCGGCTATGGTGATGTAGTCAGTCTTCCTCTGTAGTCTTAGCAATCCATCGATCTTGTCACCCACCATACGGGATGGGACGGCACTCTCTTATTTATCTTGAGAGCTCCCATAGACCATCATATTATCACGTCAGAGGTCGTTACTGATCTTGTCAGCCTCTGCAACAGGCCTGCTCTGCAAGGAATCGAGGGTTTCTCTATATCTCAACAGGTCTTTTACCGGTAAAACTCCTGATGAGTTTGATCGAGTAGCTGTAACTTTCTTTTACCCAACATGGTTCCGTTGTGATTATCTTGTCGCTTGAGCTTCCATTGACTCATGAGGCTCACCCGAGGCTCAGTTCCAGATACAGCTTTAAGGAGATGCTTTATACTCCCGCTTCTGCATGTCTTGTCCTGTTGCATGTGTTCATGCTCATCGATGATCGAACTGGGGCCTGGGTAACAAGAAGTTCGACAAAGTCACGATTGAGTTTAATGAATAAATACTTGAAAACAGTAAAGTAAACAATCAAACACAAGGCAAGATGGCCGAGCGGTCTAAGGCGCCAGACTCAAGCTTGAGTTTCCGAGTGGATCACCACACGGAGTATTCTGGTCTCGCAAGAGGCGGGGGTTCGAATCCCCCTCTTGTCAATTCTTTTTTGCTGTTTTTTTCTAGATACCTTCGGCGTTGGCTTTTGATATCCTTGTAGAATGTGCTGTGTACTGCGTTGGTGTTCGGTAGGGCCCTGGGCAGGAGGAGAGGGGACTCCGGAGACTGATTGATGTACATACAAAAATCCAGTGAGTTGAGAGCTGTAAGTACTTTGACACCACTCTCCTGTCCACCGATCTGCCTGGAAATCCACTTCGAGAGTCCTGTTTAAGTATTGAGTGCAGAATATGGAGGTGCTGTAGACAGACCGCAGAAATTTTTAGGGCTTGTGTTAGGGCTGCTTTCTCTCTAAAACTCTCTACTACTCTATTCGGATGAGAACGGGTGATAAGCATAAGCACCGATTAAACGCTACGAATACGGCCCAGCAACTCGGACCCCCGACCGAGTGTTTTTGAGACCTTCGTATCGGTGTGCGTACGTAAGCTCGGGTTTTCGTATTGCCGTATGTATGTCCTCTTTTTTTCTTGAATTCGCTTGCTTGGTTGTAGATACTGTAACATATTAATTTTAGCATCGTTGTGAGTAGATGTCTACAGGTTTAATTTAGATATTAGACTTTCGGATCGATATTCGTAACTTTGTTACGTTCCACAAAGCTCGTGTTATTTATCTTGTCCTCTCTTGAATTTACTCTAGATACTCTAGATACGGCTCATGATAGAGTAGAGTACAAGTCCCTTCGTTGTCTCGACGACGATCCAAGCCGCGCCCGTTCTCTCGGTCTGTTCCCCGGGCTCCCCACACCACAACCGGCATCTCACGTGCTCCTGCATGCCTGCCATGCCAACTCTCGACTCCACATTCCCAGTTTCGTCGAAATCCCAAAAGGCTTCTCTACGCGACATTTCTCTTCGCGACGCGGTACGCCACTGATCGATCTGATCGCGTGCACTTTCGTGGTGGCCTCCCTATGTATGTAGAGTTCATCGTGGATCTTTCAGTAAGGGAGCTCAATTGAAGGATGAAGGTGAGTTTTCGAATACTATTCGACGGCTGTTGGAGCGGGTTTTCATGTCCAATTACATATTGTCAATCGAATCGGAATCCAAACCAAATCCAGCTTCCCGAATTAAATCCGGCGAGCCCGGTACCGGTTAACCTTGATTATGTGATGCTGGATATTTGTTTCTTTTCTAGCATGTGTTGGTATCCGCGGGTGGTGGCTCAGCTGGTCTTCATGCTAGCTACAGGGTGCTACCTCGGTTCTTCACGGGCACCGAACACTGAAAGTAAAATCTCGTTTGTGGTGGGCACAACAGCCGGAGGAGGCAGTACAGCATAGAACAGCAATATTATCGAGGAAGAAAAAAGATCCGGATTATCCATTCACTTTATATTTTTCACCGCCGGAAAATTCTCGTCGCGAAAAAATAAGCCGTTTCTCTTGAGTTTTCACGAGGAGCTGACCCCTTTGTAAGCTCTGCGCGGAACTCTATCTATCCAAACCCGCAACCGCGGAACTTCTACACTCCTCACACGCACACCTGCCGTCGCCTTGCCTCGCCTCGCCTCGCCACTAACCAACGCCTGTACGCCAGCCAGCACAACCACTCCTCACCCCCAACCCACACAGCAGCAGCACAACGCTTCATGGCCTCACCTCCTAAACCTTGGGAACGAAACGGCGCCGCAATCTCCGCAACTCGTAAGCATCCCCACCGCGTCGCGTCTTTATCGAAGCTGGAGTAGCTAACACCTCTCAGCTCCCATCGCCACAGCTTCCCCAGCAGCACCCATCATGACGACTCCTTCCTCCACTCCGGCTCCTGCTGCCGCCTCCGCCGCCGCACCCCCCGCTCTTCCCCAACGCCCCGCTTCCCTCACTGCCGGTGCCGCCGGTGTAGGTGCCATGGGTGCCCCCGGCGCTGTCGGTCCTTATTCACCCCTTAACCGCCCAGGCTTTGGTATGGGCACAGGACTCGGAGGTTACAGTCCATACGGAGGGATGGGAGGGATTGGAGGAATGGGGTCTTATTCATCGCCGTATAACAGATTTGGAGGAGGGATGTATGGAGGGATGGGAGGGTATGGGATGGGAGCAGGATATGGGGGATATGGAGGGATGGGAGGGATGGATCCTAATGATCCTAACAGCTTATCAAGAGGTTTCGAAAATTCTACTGCGGCGACTTTTCAGATGATTGAAAGCATTGTTGGGGCTTTTGGGGGGTTTGCTCAGATGTTGGAGAGTACTTATATGGCTACTCATAGTTCTTTCTTTGGTAAGTTTGCTTGGATCGGATATATATGACACCTTTACATGCTCAGTGGGCATAGTCGGGAATGGATGATTGGTTGAGCTAACATATAAAACAGCTATGGTTCGCGTCGCCGAACAATTCGGAAACCTCAAAAACACCCTCGGCTCAATTCTAGGAATCTTCACAATCCTCCGATGGATCCGTACACTTTTCGCCAAAGTCACCGGACGTCCTCTTCCTGCTCGGGCAGGAGACCTAACCCCCGCCAGCTTCGCCCATTTCGAAGGCCGGGGTCCTTCTCCAGTCCCCTCCAAAAAACCCTTCCTCTTCTTCGTCGCCGCCGTTTTCGGATTACCCTACCTAATGGGCAAGTTAATCAAATCCCTCGCCGCAAAAGAAGAAGAAGAACAGCGTCGTCGCATGCTAGAGAACCCACAAATGGATCCAAGCAAGCTTGAATTCTGTCGTGTAGCTTACGATTACACCCCGGAAACTCAGAACGGGGTGGAGTTGGAAGTTAAGAAAGGGGATTTGGTTGCGGTGTTATCGAAAACCGATCCTATGGGAATGCAGAGTCAGTGGTGGAGATGTAGAGCTCGTGATGCTCGTGTTGGTTATCTTCCAAGCCCGTATTTGGAACCTATTGTTAAGAAGGAGGGCATTGCTATTACTTTGCCGGTTGGGAAACAAATTGAGGCTCCCGCTGCCCCAGGAACTGCAAGCAGGACGGGGACCATGACCAGTGCGGTTAAGCCGCCGGTTGTGGAGACGAAGCCTGGGGATATTAGTATTGAGAGCTTTCAGAAGGCGGGGTTTAACTAAGGAGGGGATTAATTAGAGGCTTGACAAAGTCGGCGAAGTCGGCAAATTTGGGGGGACAAACTGGATGGAAGCCGAAGCAGAAGTGGAAGCGGAGGTGGAGAAGGAGATGGAGAGGCAGATAGAGGGGAGCCAAGGAGACAGAAAGGGTTGCATGACCGAACGAACAAGACTCGGAAGAGAAACGGACGGATACACCAAGCAAACGAATTGGGGAGGAAGCACATTGTGTTACGGAAGTTACAATGTGCAAAGGAGTCTGGTGTTTTTTATTTGTTGATACATCTTGCTTAGTTTTTGTATTTGATATCAGGGCTGCTTATTTGTCGTTACGTTTTTTTTTATCAGATTGGCTTTTTTCTACCAGAAAATGATATGGTGTGCGTTAATGATTTTTTATTTATCTTATCGTGTTTTTGATGCGGAATTTACGGAATTAGGGAAGTAAATTGTAAAGGGAATATACTCTAGAGTGCGTTGAGGTAAGAACAAGCTTCGAAAGTCATAGGTTGATGGGATGGAAGTGTAAACACCGAGCCTCAAAAATGATGTCATTCATTACCGCCAAAACATCCATGTTCCAGTATTGTCTGTCATCCATTACCGCATACATGACCCACGAAATTCACTTTTATATAACCCAAAAAACAAACGCCCAACTCCATCCAAAATTCCCCCCCTCCCCATCCCCGCACCCTTCTCTCCACCAAAGGTATCTCCAGTGACTAGTCAAACCCCTTAAAAAACTCACCCTCCAATTCCTTGGACTGAGCCTCCTGTTCAATCCTCTGTTTCTTAACTTTCTCGACCAATTCCTTCCATTCCTCCTCCTTTTCACGTTCCTCAGGATTCATCTTTGCCAACTTCTCGGCTTCCTTCCTCTTACGCTTACGTTCTCTTCTACCTGCTTTTTGTTCCGACTCTTCTTGCTTTCCGGACCATGCTGCGTACTTCTTCATACGTTCGGCTTTCTCTTCTTCGGTCCAGACTCGGAATTCTGGCTTAGGCTTGGCGAGCTCTTCTAAGCGGGCTTTTTCTCGGACTTTATCTTTGAATGCGACGGTATCGAGCTGTTGAAAAAGCAAGTTAGCATCATCCTCGTATTTTTCATCAATGGAAAGCAGCAAAGCACAGCAACACAGCCGTGAACCAACTGTGCAAAGCAGCCCAAGGTGTAACTTACATCAATCTCAACTCCCAATTCCACTTTTTCAACCTTTTTCAACTCCGGCATTCTCGGCATCTTAAGCAGTGCATAACTCTCCGCCAACTCCTTCCACGCAATATCCTGCACCCTAAAAATACTAGCAGTTTGATGTTTACTATGACTTCTAACATGACTAACAAACGCCTTCATTCCTTTTTCATGTAGTGCTCTATCCTTAACCACAATCTTCCTCATCTCCTCCACAGTTTCCCGGACGTCTTCTTCAGTTGGTTCCGGGGGCGAAATAGGTGATACTGGTGTCTTTCTAACGTCTAGGAAGTCGATGTAACCCTCCTCGCGTCCTGGAGATAGGAATAAGATAGCGAGTCCCTTACGTCCAGCTCTTCCGGCACGACCACAGCGATGTAAAAATACTTTAGGATCAGTAGGAGCATCGAGTTGGATAACCAAGTCGACTTCCGGGATATCAAGACCTCTTGCAGCCAGGTCTGTAGTCAACAAAATCGCAGGAGTGGTGGAGTTGACAAATTTCTTGAAATTTCGTTCCCGCATCGAGGCATTCATTTTTCCATGCAATGGGACGGTGATATATTCCTCCATCTGCTCCTTTAGAATCGCCGGAAAAAGTGAGGTATAATAATCCACCGCCGCACAATTCGAAAAGTAGATAATAGTTTTCTGGGAGATAGAATTTGAGCCAGGGAAATAAGCGGTACCAGCAGGGGAGAGGATGTGACGAATATGTAGAAGACGCTGAAGAGGATCGGCTAGGATGTAGGCCATTTCT